GGTTCACGCCACAGGCCTGGACACGGATCAACACCTACAGCAGAGAAACATCATGGAAGAGCCAGAGGCCGGACAGTTCAAAACCTACATGTTCTATTTCAGACAGAGAAATAAACATGCAGAGGTTTGTGCGGTCATATAAGACATTAAAAACCAGGGCCAAGTACAACAGACAAAATAAGAGTCCATTAACATTAAGCTCAACTGTCACAGCACAGCTTATCCTTTGTTTATTATAAGTTGCATTTACTATTGTCATATTCATAACACACTGTGTTATCTTTATTATTTGCTTCCTATTTGATTGGCTTAAATTCTATAATATTAATGCACTATTATGTTTATTCATATAGACAAGCCTTAATCAACAGTTCAAAAGCCCCAGTTCATACTACATACGTGGTAAGAAATGTGTGCCACTAAAGTACACCATCAGCCATGTCGACTCATCCATCCTCTGGTTTTAACACCGAAACTGTTTGAAACTGTTTATATTAAATGTTTGTGTTGTTCTTTCTCATGCTGCTGTGATTGTCATGTGTGTGAAGTGATGAACACGCAGTAAAACTTTAACAAGGTCGTGTTGTTCCATCATAGAACTGCGAAGCTGCAACCTACAAGCAACACAACAAATAAAAACATTCATAATCAATACATCTGACAACTATCGTCTTTAATAGTGTACTGACTGGTCAGTGTATGTTATCCAAGAAAATAGTGAAAATTACCCAGATGCCAAAGTTCACATTATCTAATTGTAAATCATTATACAGCAGTTGCCAGTTAATTTTCTGCCAGTTGACTAATTTGTTAATCAGTAATTTCAGCTCCAACATACATACTGTCTAAACGGACATATGTGGTGTGGGTCAAGAGGGGCCCGATAGCAAATGTTGTACTCTGGCCCGATCAGGAGGTTCATCCGGCCATGCAAGCAGTCACATCAGACCTCTGCAATGCCCCATCTCTGGACACCTACAGAAAACTCCTGAAAACCCACTTGTTCACCACAGCTTATGGACTCTAGCCTCAGCCAACCATTACTATTAATATCTCGTGTTCTTGTTTCTTCTCTCTGTAAAGCGCCTTGGGTACCCTGAAAGGCAATATACAAACCCGAGTTCTCATTATTATTATGATTATAAACATGGCTGAAGTTGAACCTGTGTGCTGCTGTCTGTTTGCTGAGATTATTCCCACAAGGCAAACAGAGATCACGCTTAACAGTGAAGTCAGGTGTTGCAGCTGCACAGACATGAGGCAGACTCCGGTGTTTAAAAAGTACTACTGACACTATGACATGGGCTTCAGCAGCTTCACTGTCCTGTTCTAATCATGTGACTGCAGGAGTCTTTGCACTGACAGGACCAGGGTCAGCTGTGATCAGCCGTGTGTCTCACCTGTCTGAGTCCCGGCTGTGGAACGGGCACCTGTGAGCACAGGCTGAGAACCGACGGAGCTCCGCACTCACTCACTCTGATGGCTCTCATCACTCTGCTGCCCGACATGTCTCACTGATCACGGGCTGTCTCACGCTGACCAGTGAGACCTTATAGAGTCTCTGGTCTCACTATGGTGCCACTGGTGAGCTCTTCGTGAGAGGGGGCGTGAACACTGACTCCTTCCGCGGTCTTAACATGGTCGGTCAGAAGTGCATCAGCGCCACCGTGTGGACTGGAGTAAATCAAGCCGCCGCTTTCTTCTGTCCAGTGGTTTCCAGCTCACCATCACGTGGCTTTTCCCCCCTCATACTCAGGATGAGCAGGATAATCTAATGTATTTATAAATGTTGATACAGT